AACTGGTCCCAAAGCATCCATAGGGGTTGTTATTAGTGTTTTTTGGCTCTCAAGTAATTTTTCTGGCCATCAAAACGAGTTCCCACAGAAAGAAAGTACTTGATTTATTATTTCTCTGGGGTGGCCACGAATGCAGAATCCCAGCAGGTCAGAATTTTGTGGGGCTGCTTATGTCTGAATACATGTGCATCAGTGAGCCATTTGATTTGGAGCCCCAATTAACATCAATTTTAGGAGCTAATTTAATTAGACCAGCCCTGGTGCTCCACCCAGAAAGTTGGAGCTACCATGCCAAATGTTCACCTTTTTCCCCCAATGTGCTGGATCTGTACGAATATGTTGAAGTGAGCCAAGCACAAAATGCTCTGTTGTTGGCTGCACAGAGGAGGACACATCTTTACAACAATTCACAGTGGCCTAAGTAAGGAGTTGCTTTGTTTGCTCTTCAGGCAACCCAAGCTTCGACCCATACGCTTGCATAACTACTCGGTTCTTCTGACACACACCTTCCCACAGGTGCAGTCGCTCAGTCTAATCTTCTCTACCTCCCTCCCCAGCAAACAACTTCATTCACTACACAGCTCCACATACCCTATCTGCTATATCTGTGCTGCCAGTTCACAGTGACAACACCGGGTGAAATACTGCCTGTGGATCTGTAGCCAGTTTAAATCTCCATAAAAAAATTACCATCTTTAGCAGGATTCACCATAAACTCAGACCTCAGCTAAACACTGGCCCATATGTCTCCTTTTACTTTCTTTATTGTGAGCACCAGCTAAAAACACTACCATAGAGCCCTTAGGGGAAATGCCAGAAAATATAACATATGGTAAAACACTGACAAATTACTTTTTTGTATGCCGTCACTAAAGTTCAACAATCATTTGTTTATGTCCTGCCATCACCAGCAGCAACTACAAGAATAATATATTTGGATGCATGTCATTCTTCACGTCTCTCCCCACATTTCCTATGATCACTGTTCTCTCTTCTGCTGAGTCCCTCCACAGTGGGCTCTCTGCACTAATGGAAATGTAGGGTGTACTACATTTCAATTTAATTGATTCATGTCTGGTGGGGAAAATTTCATGTTTCATGACGGTGTCTCTGACGGCCGAGTTATGCAGAGATTTATAAAGATTTGAATTTGAACTTTAACTTGTATTTGTGTTGTGAAGTTTCAAAATCACTACAGCTACTATCTTTTACTTTGTTAACCCTCACATAGAGAGTGAAGATGAAAATGTCACCATATCCACTGCATGCATGCCCAATAATTTAACTTCAATTACATTTTGATCATGTATAACATAACATACCATATCTCAACAGAGTAAAACATTAGACAGAGAAACCCAACAGCTTAGCATTTTAATTAAATTAAATACAAATAAAAATCACTTGTTCTGTGTAAGACAGACAACTAATTGTCTTTTGTTCTTTTCTCGAATCTACCACAGTCGCTAATTAAAGTAATCAAGGGTACAGACACTTTGGGCGTCATAAATGCATGTCCATTTCCACATTCAGACTAGACACTGTACGTGTCTTTGATTGTCAGATTTTTCATTTTCACTGAACAACACATGTGGACACTTAGTGCATGCACAAAGAATAAATGTTATCCTACCGTTGGATGCTGTGAAGTCTATGGCCACTGTGAAATTGAGTTGTGTCCTGGTGGGAGAGGGAGCACATCAGCATCAATCCAAACAGAGATGAAAGGACTGGGCCATTATCTCCAGATGGGAGCCCATTAACAGCAGTTCAGGCTGGACTAAGAAACTCATCAAGAGTTCACTACTTAAAACACAAGGCTGCTCTGTGGTATTTAATATCTTTACAGTTGAATATTTTAATGTTGAAGGCCGCATCTTTTGTCAGAATTTTAATCACAGCATTTTACAACACATATTCTCCACTTTCTTTGAAAAAATATTTTACAATTGAATCTAAAAATCCATATTTAATTGTGTATTTTAATAAATGACTTCACTGTTCAGTTATAGTTGCTGTAACATTTATTTCCAATATGAAGATCTAAATATTCTTTCACAGAAACCTTTGCCCACTTTTAAGTTGTGAACAGAGTGGTAAATTATTTCTTGTGGAGAGATTTAAATTTTAACACTAGCATAAGTAAAAGTTTTCTAATCAAGTCCAAAATGGAGGAAGCTGTTGTATTCAACCATCCACTGTTCAACCAACCATCTGTTAGTGTAAAAACTGAAACATAAAGGATTTCTTGTTTCAACTGTGACAGGAATCCATGGTACAAATTTGTATTAGCAGGAATTAGTTTAACTTTTGATGATATGAAACTTATGCAGCCGCGGAAAAAAAGTACCAGGGGGAGTAAAAAGAGGAGTGGCGAAAAAATAGCTATCGTCTTTCAGGACTGACAATAGTGCTACAACAGCCAGCTCGTGAGCAATTACTACATAACCAAGTCTCTAGGACCAAATATTTGGTATGAACAGGCTTTAACACAAGCAAAACCCTGGTATAGTCCTTCAGTAACTTGTCATAGACAGTGTGGCAGCAGACCCAAGTATAATTTGGGTCAGCATGTTATGCAAACATTAAATTTAATGTGATTTCAAGTTCCCACTCAGCACTGATGAAAGATTTAGAGAATGAGCTCTTACCCTCCTCTGATGAAGTCAACAAATGTGTATTCTGACTCCACTTTGAAAGACAGCAAGGTCACCTTGAGGACAGAGAGAGAGAGAGGTCAGAGAAAAGAAGAAGAGAAAAGTATGAGAGTGCAGAGAAAAGAAGAAGAGAAAAGTATGAGAGTGCAGAGAGGGCAGAGAAAAGAAGAAGAGAAAAGTATTAGAGTGCAGAGAGGGCAGAGAGAAGAAGAAGAGAAAAGTATTAGAGTGCAGACAACATCCGTTTATTGCTCAGAAATGGTACTGCTGCTGAGTCATGTCCATGAAGGATGTGACAGCTGCTGATGAAACCCACTCCAACAGGTCTTACCGTCCCTGAATTGATGTATTTCTTCTTCTTGCCTTTCTTTTTAGGATTTAAAACCTTTGGCCACAAGACAAGAAACCAGATATTAGAATGTGAGAAATGAGAAATGTGAAGTCATTCTGTACATTGACTATTCCTGTGAGTGATGACCATGTTATCACAGTACAAAGTAGCACTGATATTAAATACTGTTACCTCGTAGACATTGAACTGACTTTGGCCTCTGGACAGTTCTCTGTAGCTGGTGGTGAACTCGCCGATAAAGTCATGACTGGAAGAAAGACAGGGGCAGATAAAGTGTCTACATCTGCTTTGACATGATAATTCAATACTCAGTAGTGTTTTGGTTATTGTCTTAGTAGCACCTTCAATCAATAGCTTTACCTTGAAATTGTACAATATATATGGAGTGGAAAATGTGTCAGTGCACTGTCTTTGTACAACAACACAAACACTTAGTGGATCTTTTTAACACATGGAGAGAGATCTCTCTATCAAGTCTTGATGTCAGTCTCGTCAAACCAGAGGACGACCAAATCTATTGAGGTGGCTCTGCTCCTCGGAACTTTAGAAATGATTCTATACCCTTTTTATACCTTGATCTAAAACCACAGTTTAATCAGTGGTCTATAGAGAGGTTCTTGGACTTCTTGGCCTGGTTTGGACATGTAATGTGAATTGTGGGACCTTCATTCATCACACCTACATATCATGATGGCCAGAGGAGCAGATAACTCTATTGTATTACAGTTAATATGCTTCTTGTGCAAGACGTGTGCAGAGATGGTTGGCAGATCAGCAACTAAAAGTCACTCTTTTCCACAGGTGATTGAAGTTATTCTTCATAACATCTCTAGTCACCCTGCAAACAGGAGTGGTAGATGCATGAACCCAACTACACACCAGAGAGGGCATGTCAAATGATTTTACCTGCTGCATATTGTGGAATAATGTCATCAACAGAGGTGTTCCATTGCCTGTTCAGCACCAGTGTTACGGGCCTTGTCTCATTCCTTGCTGCCGATTAAGATGAGGGGCAGTGTGTTTCACTCTCCCACAGGTGAACCACTCCTCCACCCAACACACCTCCAAATGATTCTTCCTGGAGCGCCACCCTGCACTGCCCACTGGCTTTAGGACTCAGTGTTCCCCTGTTGTAGCTGGCTCGTCCAATTTCGCCAGCGACCAATCCCTCCCTTGTCCCTCATGGTCAAGAATATAAGAAACCCTGTTGGATGTTGCCAGGGGCGGCTGAGATTTAACGTGATCAGTCCGCCTCGGTGCCTCTCATCGTCGTATGTTAACTCTTGTGTGTTTGTAAACGAGTATTGGTTTATTCTAGGACTCTGATGAATGTTAAGTTGTGATGCACTCGTTCTGTGACGAGTAAGAGTTTGTTCGGTGGACTATAGTTTATTTATGTATTTTGTTATTATATGAAGGATAGTGTAGTTTAGTTAGCCAGGTAGGCTTTTCTTTCGTTCCAATGTGGGATAATAATCCAAAAGCAAGAGGACTTGCTTTTGGATTATTTATTATTTGGTGTCACCCTCCGCACCTTTGTTCCTCAACTTCACTATTCACTTTTGTTGTTTATATAAATCATTTTAGCACTATAAAACAAAAATAATATCATCATATTGCTCTGGTGAGACTTTGTTTTTTTAAAGACATTTTCATATTGAACAATCTCTTCTAATCGCTGAAAGCAGGACACCTTTATGCATAATATGGTATTTGGGGCCAATAATCATGCCAATCTTCTATCCTTGTGCCCATTTTCTCAATATGCACAGGAGGAATTAATCATCTTTACAAAGGTCAGTTCCACACTTTTCAAAAATTAGAAGCTCTTACACGAGGCCACAGAAAAGGGTCTGAATACTGCTGGAAGTTGGTTTTGTCACGGAGTAAAGGCTCTTTTCTGCTCTTCTCATCCTATTAAAATGAAATGAGTTGCATACACAGTTTTATTCCCAAGACGATCTTTTGCAGGAGGCACTGAATTAAAATGTGTGACTGTGTTATCTCAACATTCTAAATTGCAACACCAAGCTTAGAAGTGGCCCTTGTTAAGTTGAATTCCAGATATATTCAAAGCCAGGTCTATCACTTTTATGTAAGATAACAGTGATTCATTCAGTGACCATGTGTGGTTATATTAACTCTGTGGTACAATACAAATAGTCTCATTGTTGAGACAGTTGCATGACTGCTCATGCAGTTATTGATTTCCTTCTCAGTTCATGCAGTTAATTCTTTTTTGTAGCTTGAACATTTTATCAAATTCCTTTTTTCTTTGTTGTGGGTGACTTTCGAACCAATCTATTTGTTCCCTCATGGGAACAAACCAATCATCTATTAAACATAAAGTATGAACGCTGTATATGCTCATCTCAACTGTTGCCTTTTAAGCTATTTTCAGGCATGAACTTTGCAAAATGTCTGCACATTTGGATCTGCAAATTCTTTTTGTGTAAGTTTGCCTTTCACACATGAACGATGCAGCTGGAGATTCACCACTGAGACGCTTTCACAAAGACACAGAAATCTCCATAGCGTTCAGGTGAGGGCTGGTGCAGCAGTCAGAGCCAGGACGTAATTTACAGTACCATGAATCCTGAAAAGGATCTCCTGCTGTTTTCTCACATCTTCTCATTTGGACATCTTCCTGAGTTTTTACAAGGGGGCTGGCAGAAGAATCTGCAGAGAGAATCCGGAGCCTCTCACTCAGACATTTGTGTTCTCATACTGTATATACCTCCAGAGAACATCAGGAGAATACCCAGAGTTCAGTGCTTGAATGTCTGAAAGCAGCTTTATTGATGCTCACCCAAACAATCATGTATACCACAACATGATTTTGTCATAACCACTAGAGATTTTCTCTGCTGCCATTGTGAAACCCTCGGTTGCAAACAGGCTGTTGACAAAGCATCTGATCCAGATCTCACATCCACAAAGTTTCTGTGCTGACTGTCCTACAGCTTCTATTATAGTCACCCTTAAATTTGAATCATAATATTGCAGGACATTTCCAGGAATCACAGTTGCATCTGGAATACATGATCTAATGAGGATATGTTGTTCATTTACATATTGGGCAAGTCCCAAATGCAGTAATACTGAACACATCAGTAAAATGTTAACAGACATCATATTTGTTTTCACCCAAATATTTAATCTTGCAGGACAATACAATACGTCCATGCATGCCATACACTGTCAACTGCACCGCCTTCAGAAGCAAAGCGCTTGCATCCCATCAATAATAGAAACAATTAAGTTGTACAAACTTTTTTTTGGTGCTCTTGCTTGGACAAACAAGGCTAAAATTAGCTCACTCTGGAAAGTCTAATGCGTAGCTGAAATAAGCATTAGCATTTCAGATGACATTGACCAAAAACAGCTTGGGTCATAAACCAACCATGAGGGAGGCAGGAGTGACCTTGGAAGACCATGCAAACGTCCATGTGGAGATTCCTGGGCTGGATTAAAGCCCCTGACCTGACACTGTGACTCAACCACCCCCTTTATTTCCTTTTGTTCCCCTGTATTACTTGTTATTTCTCCATCACCCCAACCGGTCCTGGCAGAGGCCGTCCACACCGAGCCCAGTTCTGCCGGAGGTTTCTTCCACCTGGGAGTTTTTCCTCCCTGCTGTTGCTCATGCTTGCTCGGTGTGGAACAAGTTGGATTTTGTGTTTCTTGAGATCTTGGACTTTTGTGCAGCACCCTGAGACAACTGTTTGTTGTGATACCGTGCTATATAAATACATTAGATTGATTGATTGATTGAAATTTGATAAACATTGTCAAGGTTGGTTAGTCCATCCACGTAGCTATGAATGTGATTTGCATACAACATAGAGTAACATATGAAGTCACAGTAATGTATGGAGTTCTCATATAAGCTGAGAACTATCTTACTGCTTCTATCACTGCTGGAAGTTAAAATGTTTAAACTGACTATTTTTAATGCTCACCTACCCAAATATTGTTTCAATCAAATCACCAATAAAATACCAGTATCGTCAGTTAGCAAGAACAATCCAAGCTAAACATTAACAAACAGCTCCTCTAACCTAAATGATTATATAAAACCAAATATACATTTAGTTGGAGGATGTTTTCCATCTTGTTTCCAATGATAAACCTGTAGTTGAGGTTGTAGATCTGTACTGATAACTAAATGTCTTTCTAATGTCTTTCAGTTACTTATATTATGATATTTGCTTTCTTTAATTACTACTTTCATGGTAAAAAGCACTTTGTGAAAGGTGCCCCACCACATAATTACATAAACTGAAAGTAAGCTACGTCACCTATGCCTTAGTCAAGTATTTTTGGGTCATAAAAAGTTGCACACTGCAGAAAAATAAATAAAATTACTTTTCCAGTGGAAGGTCACTCGACTTGAGCTGTGCTATAATAAAAATCCATCGCTTAAATCTTCTCCAGATGACAGGATCTCTCAGAAAAACATTTTATGAGTTCAAAACTTTATTTTTCATCCGCAAAAGAGAAACGCCCCTCCAGCATCACCAGACTGGTAAATATCAACTCCCTCAGATCATCTCTGCATCTCAATATATCACCACCTGAAGCTGTGCATGACACCAACTCTGCCTGTATAATGCTGGTATTTATATATTTATGTTAGAGGGGAATCCTCAAGGTGCAAACAACGTCTCCCAGAGGGGGAAGGAGGAGAAGATACAACAAGACGAGGAGAGGAAACAGTAACAAAGGAGACTTTTAGTTAAAGAAATATACAGGAGGACTGAACGTCTATGGAGAAAGGGAAATTAAGCATAATTAATAAAGCAGATTTGTGAATATCTATATAAATATATCAGGGTTGACAAATACAACTGTTTATAAATTAATATTACATTATAAGAAATGTAATCCAGTCACAATTTTTTTGGGGACTAATAACAATTTTAACCCATTTGTTATTGCAGATTAGTTGTAAGAATAAATGTATAGGCTTGTACCAAGAGCGGAGCAATGAATTTAAAAGCTGGCTTTTTTCTTGTGCTTTGTAAAAGACTTACACTTTGTGAAAAATATGATCCTAAAGTGTTGATGTGGGTGTTGCCGCTGCTGCACCCTGTTGTGAGAGAAGATTGATAAATGACCTCTTGTGATCTCAAGTGCTCACAAGCTGTGAAAACAGCCGGAGAAGAAGAAAAAAAGAGAGTCAAGTGAGAAACACCCGAGACTGAGATTCTGCTCTTACAAATGTGCTCTCAGACATTAACTTGTATACTGAGTAGTGCTCAGAGGATGTTCTGTGCTCACACCTTTGTCTTCAGTATGCTTCCAAAACCTGTGTTACTCCCAACAGTGTAACATCACCTACTGTAGGTCATAATACTGTTTGGGTGAATACTACCATGAGTGTCGTCCCCTTGAAAGATGCTTTATAACACCTCTCTGGTGAAAATCAAGTTTCATATTTCCCCAATATGTCTTTTCTTAAATAATTTATGGAATGGTATCCGGTTGTAAAGAGGATTCCAACAAATAAGATTAAAAAGAACCAACCTAAAAAAACAATCCTGTGACTTGGGCTGAGAAGGGTAGGGAGACGATGAATGGGCCGGGCTATGTCAGTATATTCATAGATCCCTGTCATAAAATGATGAAGGAGGGAGTTACATCAAAGATCCAGTGTGTAAGATTAGGTGAAAGGGAACTATTGGCAGAAATTTAATGTAGAATAATCCACATGATGTTTTCACTAGTTCATTTCATCTAAATTGTATGAATTGTAGTTTTCTTTACCCCAGAAAAGGCCCTTTATATTTAAATACTTTATATTTATATCGAGGGGACCCTCTCTACGGAGGCCGCCATGTTTTTTACATTAGTCCAGACTGAACAAACTAAACACCTTTTGAGTTTTTATGATAATTAAAGGCTTCCACAGTTTATCTTTCATGTTTGGAAGGAGAGGGTGAGGTGAGGGTGTTGAGCTGCAACATGCAATTTCAACTCTAGATATCACTTATTTCTACATACTGTGCCTTTAAAGCCATGACAGATTATTTTCACGACAAACCTTTCAAACATGTAATTTTTAGGAACAAAGAGGAGTTTTAGTTTAGGAGGTGTGTGATAAGTGGGAATCCAAGCTTGTAACTTCATGTCAAACAATTCCCTCTTTCTTCTGTCACAGTACAGTGCTGCTGTGATGATATATCGTTGGCAGCTCTGCTATTCTGCCAGACAGTGTCAGACTGAAATACTGTGCTCGGACAGACAAACTGCTGATTTGCAGAAATGGGATTTGGAGTAGTGAGACCAGGGATCTATACAAACACCACAAGAAGTGAATCTAGACTGAACTTCATGAAAAGTAAGACATGGCCAGAAAATTCAATTAAGCCCACAAATCTTTCAGTGAAAGATAAAAGCCTGTGTCAGACCAAGGTCTGCGCTCATAAATTCGGACCTCCTGTCCACTGCAACCTTTCACCTGCAGGTTGTTTTGGATTCATCACTCAGTGAGTGCCAGGTGGGTGGAGCCCTCCTGGGGTCAGACAGAGCAGGACGTGACATTTTGTGGGATTCAGTAAACAGCTGAAAATGAGTCAAGGAAAAGAAAAAAAGAAAACAAGAGAGATGGTGAGCAAGAGAACGTACCTCCCATCTCGGTCCCAGTCAAACACGTCCACCTTCACTGTCCTGAGGGAGATGATGGAACCCAGGTGAGACAGACAGGTGGAGTCACGGCCAGTCATGGAAATAGCAGGGTAAAGAAGAGAGATCAACATATGGAAAGTTAAGCCAGGAAATAAATCTAAAAATGTATACCATTTTAAAATCAACATAAAGAATTTCAATTTGACATCCATCTAAAAATTTCAAAGTAGCAAATGATTGCACCTTGTCAGGTTTGGAGATGACAATGCTTTACCTGTGTGGTCGACAAGACTACACCTGTTTTCCTGCATGTCGACAAGTCTTTTTCAAGGATTGACTCTTCTCTAATTGTCTTGTGATCTAAAGGAATACTTAGACTACCACCTATAATATTTCTACTGGCCACATTGACTGACCATAATGCATTATTTCTCTGCATTAATTTGACTTTCAAAGCACCTAAAGCTCTCTCGGATGACATTTTGACCTTGTTTTTGAATGACACTGCCTCTCTGAGTTTAGAACCAGTTTGTTGTGTTTGGAAATAAGTCTTAACAAATGATATTAAAACACTAATAGAGATGAATTCCAGATAACCAAACACTGAACAAATGTCATACATCCTTGAAGAGACGAGGATAAAATAAACAGTTTTTCTGTGTCCTACATTATGGATCAATTATTGCCAACATAATTTGAAATTTCATGGTTGTAGAGAAAAAGTAAAATCGAATACATTAGGAATCCATGAACATAATCAGCAAGTGTTTCTGTGTTTTAGACTTTTCAGGCCAGATATCAAATGTTTTGTCTGGATTGATTGGGAAGGCCATAATTCATGATCTACCTTCATTGCTCGTCAATACGGATTTAAGGTTCATTTCAAGACAGTGCAAACTGTTGCTCAGAGGTCTTACAGTTGTCAGCCGAAAGGCAGCTGCTGCCTCACATCCTTCGCACCAGGAAATTACAACATATTTTCACAACATGTTGTTACTTCAGCTGTCTATTACCTGAAATAATGAAGCAAAATCCACAAACTCTGGAGAATAAAAATAAAGAATGAGCTCCATGGGTCATGAACAGAGGAGCACTATACGCTAGACGTTTGTCAATCAGTAACTATGGTTGCGTGTTGGGAGACCCCAGGGTTGGTCGTTAGGGAGAAATGCTGCCATAAAGAGGGATGATGAGGAAGGGGGGCAGGGATTTATGCCACGCAACTTGTAACTGTCACTTCTGCAACATTTGCAAATTGCAGCTTGGTTAAAAAAAACATATTATAGACAATGTCAGATTACACCAATCTTACAACAATGTCTGAGATAAAGAAAGACACTCATGTTTTTATCTTGCTGGATGTATCCAATAATAAAAAATAACTTAAACTGCTAGTTGGTATGTGTCCTTGGCCCTGGTGCTCCACAGCAAACACTGTGAGGACTTCAGGATAACACTTGGCCTTTGTGATAGCAGGTCAACAGCATAATGGAATTTTAAATGAAATAAGGGTTTACATGTCATATCGTGTGCATGTTGTTAACCCCTGATTTCTATGCAGTTACTTTGTCTCTGAATACATTAAGCCCCAAACCATTTCTCAGTATTTTCAGATTGTCCTACTCTCTCCATGGTGCTCCATTGGTTCCTGTACATCTTGGCTCACAAATGTATGTTTATTTTTAAAAAAGGACATTTAACAGTTTCCTACAGCAGCGGGACACTGTGGTTTCTAGCCAACATTTCACAAATAGAGGAAAATAGTGCTTGGGGTACTTTTTTTGTGCAGGTTATACATTTGGTGCTCTGTTGAGTGGCTTTAATATTTGTGTGACTGTTGCTGCATTGCCTCCATGTTGGTCTCAATAACACCAGCACTGGCCTGAGACTAACAACATGGCCGACTGCTGGCATTATTCTGACAACCACAGAGTCTGTGGTCCACACACAATACTCAACATATGATCAAGGAGGAACTAATACATAGTGTAAGTGCATGAATAAGTCAACATGTGTGGTGACAGTACAGAGAGAGATAGGTCATTTATTTCATTCTGATAAGATCGTATTGGTTTGGTTGGTTCCATTGGTTTTCTGGCACTTCTTGATGCTTTTGGTTTGACCTATTTCGTACATGAACCTACTGAGTGCAGTGGTTTAATTTGAAGTGGACAGCAACTGTCAAAGCTTAAAAATGGTTTTATACCCAGACCTGCAGAGAATACAGCTGAAAATGTCTTTGACTTCACTGCCTCACTGTTTGTCCTGACTTTTTCTTGAATTGAAAGTGACATTCACTGTTGCTCATTGATCGATAAAAAAGCCACTCTATGTAATCACAATCATATTTACAACATTTGCAGTGAAGTGAAGGGGTCTGTATACACAGTATTGATTTGACTTGATTAACCTCTGAACCCGAAACTGTCCCCTCACCTGTCATAGTCTCCGTTACAGAGTGCTCGGACAGGGATGGTAAACGGCTGCCAAACAGGGTTCAGATTGTTCTTGATCACCTCAGTCTTGTGGCAGATGGTGAACCTAGAAAGACAAATAACCCCAACACGGTGAAGATGAAATGTCTCAAAGTAGAAGCTAGGATGCAAATTAATCTGTTGAATAGTTTCTCACAGGGATTAGATGTCCTTTTTTTTGTACAACGTAATGTGTATAAATAGCTTGATTAAAATATATGTGTGTATGTGTGTGTAACCCTTTGGACAGAGTATTTTATATTAGAGTGGAGCACAAAAGCCTTTTATGCAACTTTATAGGATTCGGTTGGAAATGGTCTACAGAATAAATTCTTTAGCATGTTAGAGCAGAAACAGTACAGGGTCACAGATGGCTTTGATCCTGAACTGTGTGTCTGAAATAGTGAAGGCTCCCGTAAGTGCAGATTTATTATAACGTTCTATCGCAATGTCAAGAAAATCTATTAGCCCACTTTTAAACTACCAGTCAAACCACTTTCACACTTGTCATGGGACTGGATCCAACAGAGAAATCTTTTGTCAGATTTTCATAAGCTGTCAGTAATAAGGGATGAGCTACGACAGAGGAACAGAACTCACTGCTTTGAGGAAATAAATGGACCGTACAGCTGAGGAATTACAATGTTTAACAAACACGAACCTTATAAAATCACACACTTACGTCCCATCTTCATTGCTCCGGTAAAAGACTAGGAAAGGGTCAGACTTGCCGAAGAAATCCTTTTTGTCCAGCTTGTTGGCACAGAGCTGCATTGTCGCTATGTCCTGGGAAAACAAACAGTTCATACATCTTTTGATTTGTTTTACAAGTTTGGTTTAGTTCAGACTTAGTGTTGGACATTCAATTGACAACTGTTTTCTCATGAATTCACTTGGCCCTGAACTTTGTCACTTGAAAGATCTTATACCTTTCTCTAGCCCTGATAAAACACCTTGTGACCTGGACAGAAAACCCCGTTTATTGAGGATCAAAAGGTCAAAACCCAACTCCTCAACCATCAAAACATTTTAACCTCATATATGCACCATCAATGTGTCCATTGTGGCTCTACAGGTTGAGCTAAATTTGCATTTGCCACTTGTAGATGTAGAGATTAGAGTAAAACGACGACTGTCACAAACAAATGATAAGCCTAACCATTAAAAGCCTAAACCTTTCCAAATAAACCAAATTCATACATGAATCATTTTAAATGAGTCCAACCAAAGGTAAATACGTAAAGTGTGAGCCAAAACTGCCAAACTAAGATGTTTTATAATATTGTGATCCAGTTCCTCATCAGTGGTGTTGACAATAGGGCAACAAAGTCAAGCAGTAGTTGACTAAAGCAAAAAATAGACATCCATTACATGATACCTGATTGGAAGAGTAATCTGCCCAATCTAATCTCAAAGCAGGGTCCAGTCCCAGAAAGGATCTGATATTCCATGTTGCATTCATTTTGTAATGTACTTCCCCTTTTGTGGCAGCAGTAGGCCTTTTCTCTCTGGGAGCTAGCTTGACTTCCAGCCATTGCATCTGTCATTTGTGTAACTTTCATGGGTGTGGGCATGTCTAGTTGACATGTTTTGGACTTTTGCAAATTGAAGATCAAACAAGCATTTGACTAAAGCTAACTGCAGACAAGCACACTTGTCTTGTCTTGCTCTGAAATATATTCTTGCACACATTTTTAACATATGCACAGTGTTAAAGGTACAGTGTGTAGAATTTTGTGATATCTAGTGTTGAAATTTAATGTTGCAGCTGAACACCCCTCACCTCATCCTCTGCTTCCAAACATGAAAAAGAAACTGTGGTAGCCTTTAATTGTCATACAAACTCAAAAGGTGTTTAGTTTGTTCAGTCTGGACTAATGTTAAAAACATGG